TAGTAGAGACGGGGTTTCACCATGTTGACCAGGATGGTCTCGATCTCTTGACCTCGTGATCCACCTGCCTCGGCCTCCCAAAGTGCTGGGATTACAGGCGTGAGCCACTGCGCCCGGCCAGCTGACACCTCTTATACAATGTTAAGGAGCTCCTACCATTTATTATTCTCTTCCAAAGTTGCGTTTCATCGTTTTTGTTTAATCTTCCAAATAAATGACAACATTGTCTAGACAAGTATTAAAGGTGGGATAGTTAGGGGAAAATTTATATCTTTGCAGGAATCTTATCCGTAAGTATATTATAGTATCCATTTTTTTCAAGTCTCAGATAGCCTTCTAAACATTTAGAAGTTTTTTCATGTAAATCCTGGACTTTTCTTGTTAGGGGTGTGTTAATTAGGATAATATTAGTTGCTGTAAAAAACAACTCTATAATTTCAGCAGTTTAACACAAAGGAAGTCTGTTTCTGTCTTATGTAGCAGACCCTATTTCACATGTGGGAACCCACTCAGGACCCAAGGCCGAGAAAGCGTTTGTCATCTTTACTGCTAGGTCTCTGAGCTTACCCTGGGCTTTGCCATCCAGCTAGTGCCAGGATTTAAAGAGCATGGAGAAGATATGCCCTTCTGTTAACCAACTTGATTAAGAGCTGACCGGCATCCTTTCTGCTTGCTTTCATTTGCAGAATGAGTCGCATGGCCCCACATAGGTGTCAAGGAGCCTGGGAAGCGCCCTGCTGAGAGCCACTCACCAGCTGTAACTCCACCCTACAGAAGAGAGAGTAGGGATGTAGGTGGACGTTGAGTTGCTGCTGCCACCCAGATCTTATGTTTATTCACAGCTATGGTGACCTGAACTATTTTGGATAGAAGACTTCCGGATTAAATACGTAGGTTCAATTCCCGTCTCCACCACTTATTCCTGTCAGCACAAGTCAATTGTGGGATCATAGAAGAGAATACATTTAAAAGTGTGTGGCAGAAAACCTGGCACGTAAGAAGCCCTCGATTGTGTTACCTACTTTTCTGTATAGTCGAATTTGTTATTAATCGGAATGGGAGCTCTTTATACAGCCACCTCGCTGAATTCTATTTATTCCGATAATCTGTTCATCACTATTCGGCTTGCATCATAGATAATACTATTCTCTACAAAGAATCCAGTGTTGTCCCTTTCTTTCCAATATTTGCATATTTCGGCCTCATCCTCTTGGCTGACACCTCCCATACAATGTTAAGCAGTTGCAGTAACAGCAGACATACTTGCCTTGCTCCCCACTGCCCTGAGAACTCTTACAAAGTGTCTCAGGATGCAAGCATGTTTCCTGCCACTTCCGGTAGATGTCCGTTATCAATTTAAGAATATTTACATCTGTTCTTTTTTTCCAAATTACTTTTTTAATAAACTGCTGGGTTCCGTTTGCTAATATTTAAATTGGATCATACTTCTCTGATGCTGCCCTTGTCCCATTTTGGTATTTGAGTCATGCTAATCTGTCTAGATAATGTATAAAACATGTATGGGATCAACTTGTCCCGGGAGCTTCCCAGTTTGAAAACTGAAAGTCCTACACCTGAAATCACCTTTGCGAAAATTATAACTGAGAAAATTATGGCAGTG